CCACTCATGAACTGGAACCAAGTGTTCTTGGTACAAGTCCTGGGATCCTCCAAAAATTTATATACAGATGAGGCGCAAGGCAACTTGGCTGGCCCACCTCATGGAGGGTGGGGCCACACTAATCATATGGGAGAAGCTGAAACGGGGCGACAGAGGGATTCTAGGTTCCCAACACTTTGTTTGCTCAATATGGGCGATGTTTTTTTATAGACATGCTCAGTATTGGCTGCATTTAATCAACTTCCTAGTTGGTCTCCATTACTGAACACGTACTGCTTTTCTTAGCAGTTCAAAGAGACACAATGTACTTAATGCAGTTTCCTTGTATGCAAATGTAAGATGAGGCACTTTCTTCAGCATGCTGATTGGGGGAAGGAAGGCATCTTGTTTTGAGTAAATATGGTAATAAATATATTAGTGAAAACTGACTGAATTTTTAAAACCCATTATCAAGCTGAGAAGGCAAAATAACACCACAGGGAATTTCAAAAACATCTGCTATCTTACCATGAAATCATTTTAGGTATATACTTCAAATGGATTAAAAATAGTCTGTAAATAATTATAAGGTAAATCTGTGCATCATAAGTGCAATAAGGTGATATTTTAGAGAGAATTATTTTAATCTAAATTATTAAGGGTAAACTGTTGTGACTTTTTAAGTACATGAGCCAAGCCCCAGGAGAATGTCACTGTAAACCTTTTGTTCATAAAATGTTATGAATTTAACAGAACTATACATATTCATGATGGCTGTAAGCAATGTAATTAAAATATCTAGACCTGTTTCTGCAAATCACTTGTCTGTAGGTGGACTGTTGCCTCTGGTGCCTCATTAGCTTCAGGTGGACTTCACACTGACAGGCCATAAACTGAAATGTAATCAAACATTTTGTTGTTTGCTTTTCTTTCTTTCAATTTCAACCCTCTATGTCCTCTGCTTGTGAAAGCTTATGCTACAGATCTTTGATTTAGTTGGTCTATGGCCCCTGAGAGACATTAAGTCTCTCAGGGGCCATAGTGCATTATGGGAACTAAGTCTCTCAGGGGACATTAAGTGCATTATGGGATGTAATCCAGGATCCCAAAAATCGTGCTTCCTACCATGCCACCCAATTGTGAGATGGAGCATCAAATCCCACTGTGCCACACTGCTGGTACAGGGGGAGCCCCATCCTAGGCTCCCCTCGCACCAGAAAGTAACAAGCTTGGCTTCCTGTGCCACCATGGCTGCAAGCCTAGATCAGCTGATCAGAGCTCCCAGCTGGGGGAACACATAGTGTACCTCCAGCTGGAAGCCCCAATCAGGACCTCCTAGTCTCTGGATCACACAGAAGTCTTGAAAGGCTCCAGCGTACTCCAGAGACTGGCAGCACCAGCCACACATTCAACTAAAGGCGTGACAGGAACCAGCCACAACATTAGTACCCATATTTTACGTAGTACCTTGGTAGCTTATCCCTCATTTTACCACACTGTTAATCGAATGAACGTGTGGCCAGGTCACTACTTAACCAGTTAACCATGTCTTAAGCATAACTTCTGTTAGAGGCATACAAATTGCAAATCTACCCTGCCTTCTGCCAGGCTTTCACAACTATCCAGGCTTCTGTGGAGCTCAGTGGAATGCTGTATAAGCCTGAGTGGTCCCTACAAATGTGACCTTAGGTTACAGGACCTAGGCCAAAGTTGTACAGCCGTATGTAAAAAAATATCAACTCAGTCAAATTTTGGTCTGGAGCCATTTGATATCGTAAAAGAAAAATCTGAACAAACTTTCTCCCCTCCAACAACAAAAAGACTTCTACATAAAGTAGATGGACATAAACAGGAGATTTTAAGTGAAGAGAAAGATGACAAAAAGAACATAAAGACAGAAGAAAGGAAAAATGAGAAACATACTGGAAACAAAGTCTTACAAAGATAATAAAGAATGGAAAGTAAAAATGGAAAGAATGGAAAATGATAGTAAGTAAAACCTACACCAATGCGCTATATTAGGAATTAAGAGAGGACAAAACCAAAAACTAAATAAATGGATAAGAGAAAATGCAGTGAAATTTTAAAAAACAGCTTAAGTTCTTGTAAAATTTAAAAGCCTCTCTATTGGAAATGAGAGAAAAACTTTATATACCAAGTAAATTTTTTTTAAAGTGGAACATATGAAGCAGAACTTATACGAAAGAGAAAAAAAATCTAAATACATAAATGAAACACTAATATTAACCTCTACATTGGCCTGTTACTGTTTATTTGCATGTCTGTGCTGCTGTATAATTTGTTTACAGTATCATGGATTACTCTTGGGGAAGGGCCATCATTTATGTAAGGCCTTACAGCACTTACGAGCTCACCATGCTGGAGACCTAGAGACATTACCTCTGTAAACATTTAATAATATTCCACAGTCATCCTACTTTTGTAGTATTTAGTTTTCCTCCAGTGTTTTCCAACCTCTTTAACAAATATTCATGCCCAGATTTTGTTTTAATCTGATAGTATTCATAAACAGAAAGAACACAATACAAATGTCACTGCCTTGCTTTCCTGGAAAATAAGACTTAAGACTATTTGTTGGACATATGAACACACTTTAATATATATGTTGGTATTTTGATCTAAGACTGTTGTTAAAATTTGACAACTGAATTCTCAGTTATGTAGCCATTAAAAAAAAGAAGCAATAGGGCAAAGATAATCCCAGATAATATCAAACAGAAGAATAAGGTCTGCCCTCCCCCTGAAAAAGGTGCAACTTGGGTTTATGTTCTAAGTTGCAACAAGAATATTCAAGAAAAACTAGGAATACTAAGATTAGATTGTACTAGTGATGAGGCATTTCCAGGGTACAAACGGCTATCAAAAAAACAAAACAAAACAAATTCTTTAATGAACCATGAAGTGATATTAAGTATTAGCTCTGGAGAAAACTACTTCAAATCTGTCAAGATGGTATAATGGCTGCCTGGACTGGTTTGTAAGAAGGAATTAAAGGTAAATAAGAGGAAGAGGAAGCAGTTATCTATAAAGAAGGGTCTAATTCAGGAAGCACTGAAGGGTAGAGAGACATTATCTCTTATGCCTTTATAGACTGCAAAACAGAAGACCAGCCTGCTATATAAAGCCAAAAGTATCAGACGCAAAACTAAAAGCCTGCTATAGTGAATGCCAGCTATAATGGAAACCCTGGAATTTTTTGCATACGACTAAGCAGAACATTTAGTTAATGCATTTTAAAAGAAGTCTTACTTTCTAAAATTCATTTATTTTATAGAATTGACATTCACTGTTCAAGAATTCCAAATCACAAAACAGATAACTTTTCAAACTTGAAACCATGTGAATATGAAAAAATGCAATGCAAAACATCCAATTTGCCTTTGAACTACTGACTTTATAAGAAGGTAGCATAATTGCATCCATGAACAGCAAAATGGATACGAAGCTCTTAAAAAGGGTGATATCATGGCATACTATTGGAGGGCAGACTTTGCTTTCTTAAAAATATAAATTAACCACCAACATTTTTTGAACTATAATAATCAACATTATACATAGGAAGGAAAAATAAAATGTAAATCACAATACTTTGGTATTGTTCTGTCATGCTTTCTATAAAGAAAGTGAGCTCCATCTTTCCTTACTATGGTAACTGATAAGGTGCTGCAGAAATAGTGGGCACATCTACACGTACCACTATGGTGCCGTTGTTACTGTGCCATCATTTAGTACTTCCTTTTGGAAATATTAAAAGATGGCGCAGTAACAGTTAGTACTGCGCTGTGCACAGTTATTTTTAGGCACTACATTGCTGTAGCGATGCACTATGATGGGGGACCGTGTCACTACAACAGTGCAGCTGCAGCATCATGAGTTTTGCCTGCGAATACTACAGGATGCCACACTGCTGTAGCGTGTTGCTACGGCAACGTAGCATGATGTGTAGACGTGCCCAGTACCTGTTGGGGGGGGGGGCGCGCGGGCAAAGTCTGGCCCATGGGCTGGATCCGGGCAGCAGTGGACTCCATTTCCCAGCAGCCCCTGCCCGTGTGGCTGGGGCTGGTCTCCGTGGTGACTCCAGTCACAGCTGCACTGTGATAGTGCAAGGCTGTGGTTGCCATGGAGACTGGCCTCAGCTGCGCTAGCAGGGCATGCAGCAGGGAAGGGTAGGGGGCTGTTCCAATTGTCACCAATGCAAGGAGCCAGGGCAGAGCCATGATGTGCTGCCTGTACCACTGCCCAGATCATGCAGGCTGCAGATTGTGGCTCTGCCCTGGGCCTGGACCAAACTGCCCCTGCCGCAAGATCTCAGTGGCTTTGGAGCAGCCCCCTGCCCTACTACACCGTCCTGCCAGCATGGTTGGGGCTGGTCTCAATGGCAACCACAGGGCCTTGTGCTATCACAGCTATCATGCTATCCAGCTGCTGGCTGGATCTCCCATTTTGCCCATCCCTGTGTTAAAGAGTCTGCATCTAGATCGTTACTTCTTATAACCACAAAATATAAGAAGCTTGTAAGAATACCTAGTTTCAAAAGTTCCTGACGAGCCTCACAAGCAGGTAACCAAGCTGAACAATTCAAATTCAAAGAGCAACTGCTTATATATAATAGTTAGCATTTGTCTGCATTTTCAGTTGCCCTCAAACTACCCTCTGCAGGAACCTACTGTTTGTTTTCATCTGTGCATTCTACGAGGGCTATTCAAGTGATTGTTATTCAGTGTTTACTTTCAAAGTATAGTTTTTTACTACCATAATGTGGATTTGGGAAATGCTTATTCTGAAGCAGCAAAAGCCCAAGGATAAATCTCAAAATCTGGTCCATTTTTATCCTTCCACCCCTGATAAACCAAAGTTGAGAACCACTGTCCTTGTATTAACATCATTAGAATTAAAGTAGAGCTCCATATTTAACTAAAAAGAAAATTAAAGAAAAATGGAAGCAATGAAGCTTTTGTTTATAGTTCAGGTCATATCATTTGTATACTTATTTTCATGGACTACATAATACCCTTGAAAATAAGTGTGTGTGTACATACACACACATACAAACTTAGATTGAGAAAGTGCTGTACCATAATGTCAACAATCACTGCTGTACAATGATAATTTGTGCAAACTATAATCTAGTTGGCAGCTTTCTCTAATCAAAACAATTTATTTATATCCAACACTGAAGAGAAATTCATTATAACAAAAATGCAACTCCAATAATCATAATACAGACAAATTTCTGCAGGATTAGAGACAATCAGCTGTGCCTTGTGCCTCATAATGCCCCAGGGCAGTGATTATCTATGGAAACCACGGCTTCTGTCAAATCCTATTGCAAGCAATAACTATGTTTATATGCTATCTTCACTTAATAGTTGGCATTTCGGTTCTCAGAGAGAAATTTAGACATCCAACTAAATAGTGAGAACATACACAAAAGTCTAAGAAAATTTAACAAAAAATTCTCAAATTAGTTGTGGTATAAAACTGTGGTCTATCATTCTTGGACTAATTCTCTCCATTCAACTTCTATTTCATAAAAATAAGTGACTTTCCGTTACAAGGAGTGTTGTCACATATATTTGTGGCTTGACTATTCTGAGAACAGAATACAGATGACCACACCAAAGAAAAACTTTACATTGTTGCACTGAATTTAGCACCAAGCCTAAAGTTAATTAGCATGAGAATGATATCGCTAAATCCCTTCTACAATAATTGGGAAATGGATGCTGCAGCAACTAGTAGAGCAGTATAATAAGATCATAATTTAATAAAACTGTAGGCACTGCATCTACTACATAAACTGGATAAATAAATGTGCCAATTGCAATTGAACATAATCCTTTAGTTTGGTCTCTGCTAGTTCTCTAGAGAAAAAAACATAAATTTCAAAAACAATTTCTTGCTAGAAAACTCACCCTGTTAGACTGTATAAACCATACTGAAGTACCACACTGGATATTAAATAGATTAAAATTTTAAATATTTTGCCAGGAGAAAGACAGAGGGAACAAGGACCGAAGAGCGAAGTCTTTCTGAAAGTTATTAAGAAAGGGACAATTAAATAATCTAAATACTTATTGTGATATAACTCTAAAATATATAGATTTTTAACTGTATTTTTTTGGTAAGGAACAAGAGCAGAATTCATGGTTACCATAGTTACACATACTCTTTGTTGTGTTTCAATGCCACATGATCTGATTCAAAGTAATACACGTCAGGCTCTTCCTCATCATCTTCTGCAGTGTGCAGGTTGGCACTCTCTTTGGCAGATGATATATATCCAGGAACGAGCCTAACCTCAGAAGGTGGCTTACTTAGTCCTTCACTCCCAAAACCTCCAGAGTCACCACCTCTGTCTTTTTCATTCTGTTTAATTTCATCAGAGTTTGTGGGAGATCCATTGATATTATTAATACTTGCAGGTACATTCTTTTCAGTGGGACTAAGATTATTTTCCTCCACCTGCCCATTTTCTCTACAAGGAGAGTTATTTTTAGTGGGGCTACTACGGGGAGCAGCCCTTCGTGGTGAAGTTCTCAATGTGTATCTGTGTTCTTGAAGTTCTGACACTGAAGTCATTTGAGCTGAAACACAGTCTAGCATTGAAGATGGTGGTTCAGGTTCACCTGAGATTGATGTACTATCATGTTCAGCATTCAGGCTGCTACTGGTGTTTTCAGCACATTGTTCCTTTGAGGCACTGCTATCTCCCACCACATCTACTTCCTCCTCAGAATCCCTTAATAAAGATGACTGGATTTCAGAAAAGGACCCTGTAACTGGTTCATCTGCCTGATTTGCATGTTCCTCAGGCAAGCAGTCATTTATTATTTTATGGTCCTCTAACTTTACCTGTTCTTGAGAATTTGTGCAAGGCACATAATGGTCTACAACACTGTCCTCCTTGCTGCTATTAAGCAACAATGAACAATGGGCAAATGAGTTCCCATTTTCTGCTACTGTTTTTTCCTTGGGCGTACAGGAACTAGCATTGTTCTGTTTAGTGCTCCCATCAGACTGACAGTCATCACAGTTTAGAGTACCTGAGTCTCTCTCATCAACTCCATTAACAGCCTGATAGCCCACAATCTCTTCAACTATTGCAGAATTATTAAACCCTTCCGTACAGACATTCACCTTTTTAACTTCCCTTTTGTCACAATCATCCAATAGAAGACATCGACAAGCTCGTTTACTCCCTTGAGAGACTGCATCATTGTCCGATATGGAGCTCTTACGCTCCAATGATTCCTTATCTGTTTTAGTAGACAAGTCTTCTTCTGAACTGTTTGGTGCCTCTGAACGTAAGCAACGTTTAATTCTTTTTAAAACTGGTGATACAGGTTCTGTCTGCCTTTTCTCGCAATTTTCCACAGTTTGTTTTTCAACATTATCCTTCTCTGAAGTAGACAGTCCTCTCTTCCTAGGACTCACCCACAACTCCCGAGCACTTGGCTGTTTCAAGTCAGTAGTTCTTCCACCATTATTTCCCTTCTGAGTTTGCACAGGATCTGGTCTCTTCTTTGGTGATCTTGATCGTACTTGAGGATGGGGAGAAACTTCCTCTGGATGAGCAATACTACGGTTTCTTAAGGTGCGACCACAAAAGTTTTCATCCAAACCATTTAAACCCACTGTTGATCTTGTAACACGAGTAGATCGAGAAGCAGCCATACTATGGCAAGTCCCTAAAGTATGTTCATCATGATCCACATTGGGAAACCTTCAAAAAAATGTAAACAAAACAATGAGAAAAAAGTAACATTCAAAAACATTTGCACCCAAATAATTATGCTATCATTTTGGAGGATATATCATACACTGTAACTAATGTATATGTATTTAAGAACTACATGAATGTTTCTTCCCTCTGTATCAACAAATAAGTAGGTTTAAAGAAAAATGTATATCTATACCACAAAAGGATAGGTTACTTACTATTTCTGTTTATTCTGCCTTTAGTGCAGGTATCTGAATATCACTGAAATTTGAATCTCATAACCTAAACACTCCAGTTCTAAAATGCACTATTTTTGCCATGGTACACACAACATGTAAAATCATGATTTTGAACCTTTATTATTAACTGAAAAATATCAAATCTTAACTTTGAGGTTCCACAGTCTCCTTTAACAACATAAGAGATTGCATGTTAAGATGAAAAAATATTAAAACAGCATCTTATTGAACCTGTAGTTTGAATACATCAAAACAAGTCCCTGAAGAATAATATTTTTCGTCTGTATTTCTAATTTAAGATATTACACTTGTCAAATAATAACCACTGTTAATGGTACAAGTAGGCCTCAGTTAAAATCTTAGATTCAAATTTTATTTTAACCTATTCCTATCATGATGGACTATTATCGTTTCCTACCACAAACTTTAGAAAAATTAAAATTAGATGTAGAGTTCAAACCCCTATTATTTGGTTCTCCAGTTTTCATGCATCTCAAACACTAGTTTTGTCTGATTCATCAATAATATTTTATTCTGTGGAAGCTGGATCCCAGATTTATTCTTCTTGCATTCTTCATTCTTTACAAATCAAGCATGCAACATTGTGCATCATCATTGGGCTCTCCCCAAAATATTGAGGATGATGATCAAAAAAGAACTTTTTTAAACTGCATATTTTTTCTATTCTGCTTGTAAGAATTCTTACACATTGCTTTAAGAGGGTTTTTTTGTTTGTTTTGTTTTAAAAAGTAGTAACAGCAGCAGTAGTAGTCGTCAGACTATTGTATTATTAATGAGTCAGGAATTAAAAAATGGAAGGGAAATTATTTCAGCAATTTCTTCATCATCAGGGAAAAATTATAGTATCATTCCTCAGAAAGTTAATATTTATTCATAAAGTAGGTCAAGTTCCTTATCAGGAAACACTGGAGTGCTCACATTCAGAACAAGCCAAGCAAGACCAGTATTCTTCTGGAGGAATATAATGCTGCCTGACACTTAATGAGAACTAACCATATACTGCCTGCTTAAATGTGCTTACGCCTAAAAACTTTTAGTTAAGTGCAAGATTACACACCAACAACGCACTGTTTGCAGGCAATATTTTAGATTTTTTAAAATAATTATAAAAAATAAACATCAAACAAATGAAAAACACATTGTTACTTATTAGGGTCAGTAAAAAGCAAGGAAGGAGTCTGAAAGACACTATTTGCAAGCATGAGACCCAAGCTAGCAGATTCTGAATGTTCATCTATAACTGGAAAGTGATTACTGACCTTTTTAATGGTTGTAAATCAAGTAGTCTTAACTGCTGAGCGATATTTAAGTGAATACTGCTATATATTTGAGCAATTTTTAGGAATTTTACAGAAAATAAAACACCTGGCAATCTAATTTCTCTAAACATATATATGTACCAATAGCTACTTGGCCATAAGCCAAGGCCTCCTACACATGAATCCTAAACTACGTGGTGTCATTTTTTTTAAGTTATGATCCATTGCAACAAGTAACTATTAAGAAATGTTAACGGATTATAAAGATATCTGCACAAGTTCACAACCCTTGGTTTGGGAGAGAGGATGATAGGTAGTGGCAACAGGGGCTACAGTCTAGTAAGGAGCAGGACAGGCTTGCAGGGGATAGCAACAGTTTCCATAGTTTTAAACCAGTGATTTTTAACCCGAGTGCCACAACATACCGCTCAATACCAGCACTATTAAATGTTCAAGCACATACATGACTCATAAAATAAACCCAGAAATTTCACGTAAGTACCTATAGTTTCTGAACATGTTACTGTGGTCTTTCTGAGTTCTTTACACAGAAGAATTGCTCTATTATTTTTCCATAGCTAAGAGCTATCACTTCCAAGAGGTGCCTTGAGTTGGAGGAGGTTGCAAAAACACTGTGTAAACAAAGCTCCACTCCTCCAGTCAAAGAGCTCTGCTTCTCAGCTGCCATTCAGGGCAGCCACATACTTATGCGTGGTTCTCAATGCTCCCTCAAAAATAACCCCTTTTACACCCTCTGAACCTCATGTTTTGCCTAAAGGCAAACAATCGAAATGAAAAGATGGAAATTTCAGAGGAAAAAAATAGTTTGTCATAATCTATACAATAAATAAATAGGTTTAAGTAACACCTTAGCAAAAAGCTAAAGTCTGTGGCACATATATGGGTACTTAATTACGTCTGATATAGTGCCCTGGCTGTAGCAAAAGAAATCCAAACTTAAACACACATAAGCAGCAGTTTAGTACCAAATCAATAACACAACATAAGTCAAAAGAGGGAGCCTCTCATTTCTTCTCTCAACTTAATTGTGTTTTTTTTCTGACAAAGTCTTATATGTAAGCTTGAAAATACCGTTTCCAACTGTAGGGATGCCAGATGCAACAGAAAATATGTGACCCAGTTGAACACATACAAGAAAAAAGGTTTATGCCTCCTAAAAATATTAATGTAGCGGGAGCCACTGAAAGTGAAAAACTGATTTCTAATTCCTCGAGAGTTTTGTTTCTTTTGCAAATATTAAAGAACCATAGATACCACAATTTTGATTTGGCTAAAACTGAATAGAACTTCCTAATGCAAGTATTAGCAATATATATCATATTTCACGATGTATAAGTCAAGTTTTGAAGCCCAATTTTTAACTCTTAAAAATGTTAAAGTTCTTTTAACAGTGCTTTCCCCTTCAAGCAGCGCTGGGCTTGGTGCTCAGCTGACGCACCCCCATCTCCTGTGAGCGGCGCAGCAGCATGTGTCCACCCCCCAGGTGCCTGGCCCGCAGTGAGGTCACGCAGGGGCTGGTATAAGTTGACCCCATATTTCTGATCGAAAAAGTCCTAGGTAGACTTATACACTGGATCTACAAAATTCCTGACTTTCTGGATCAGAAAAATGGGGTCAACTTGTACACCATGTCAACCTATACACCATGAAATATGGTACTACAGCAACACTGCTGAACTTAGCAAACACCAGCTTGCCCATTAACACACAAGAAGTTCATTGCTTTACACCCTTCCTCATCTCTCTCTCAGGTATAAGACCCCCCAGTACTGCTTCCTGTAGTCACCTCTCGGTTGTGTTTAGCAAAAGGGTTTTTTTTCTGACTAAGAGATAGATGATACTCACTGCAAGCAGACGAAAAATAAGGCAGACACAATAAAGTGGAAATGAGATAAGGTCAAGCCATGAAAGTAAGATGGGTGAACCAATGGGTCCAAAGACAGAATGGCAAACATATGGAAAAAAAGTTTTCAAGTAAGCTGAGGGAATGTCTATAAAGACTGCTAAATAACTTTACTGCCCTGTCGTGAGTGAATCTAAGCAAGGCTGTGGTGCATGAAATCACATAGCTGCAGTAAATCCTGAGACAAGATGGGAATTACATAGCAATGTTAGCCAAATTCCAAATGAGTATAATGTATATAGCACCAAAAGTCTGTGCTGACGTTTGTACAGAAAGAAAACAAAGTATCTGTACCACAAGGCTTACAATCTATAATCACTGATAACTAAGTTCCACTGAGGTAAAACTACAAAGTGAAGATATGCAAAGAAGGAGAACTCGTTGGACTCAATGACTACCTAGAGGCAGGATACAGACAAAAGACAGATGCCACTTGGGGATCCAACTGTGCAGGAACAAAATGCCACTAATAATGGATTAAGGCACCCTGATTAGCACCTGTCTCCTCTTGCTTCACAGCAACTTAACTGTGTAAGTATAACCACAACTCACACAATGCTCAAAAAGAAAAGCAGTTACTATGTGCTACAAATAAACTCCCTCAAAATTGTTATATTCCTGACCCACACTAATGCTATTGCTCCAATTGTTCCTGCCTCCTCAGCTCAGTGTCTGAACCAGCATGTGGCTTTTATTACTGATGGTCATGACAAAATCTTTCAGCCTCACTACCTCACGGTTTGTCCTATTAAAGAGAAAAATGCAGGAGTAGGTGGCAAGATACTTACTGAAGTTAAGGAAAACAAAGATTGATAACAGACACAGAAAAATAAGGCAAAATAGAGAGCAGAACAATTTAAGAACTGGTAGGTGGCAGGAAAAGGAGAGTTACAGTAATCCAACACAACACCCTGCATAGACACACACATAGAGACAGTAGCATAACTAAGGTGACCAGGGCAGCAGTGGAGATAAGAGCTGTCTCTGCTGCCAGCTGGCTGTGCCGCCACCACTGGCAGCCCGGAGCCACTCTGTACCACTGCTGCCTTGTTATACCTCTTCATATACCTGCTGTACCTTCTTTTCACACAGAAGCTCAACAACTTGTAGAGGAGGTAATGTGCCTATATAACTCAAACTCGTGCCCCATGGTAAAGAAAAGATAAACGCTCCAATGAAATTTCTTTCCTTTAACAAAGCAAAATAATCCAATTATATCCAAAGCAAGCAAAAAAAAAAAAAAAAAAAGGGGGGGGGGGGGAAGGGATGCATTTTGAAGCAGCATAGTTACTTCAGATAGGTAAGTGCTTTCTTCTTCTAGTATTGCATCTGGGACTCTACTCTGACTAATAAAGGAGGATCTTCACTTGACCAATGACTGTTGCTCCATAAGGCAGCCTTGTATATCTCAAAGACAGGCAACTAAGCGAGCCTTAGGGCTGTTTGGACTCAATTTCTGTTATATTCATCGCAAGAGAATATGTACCGTCTGATCTACTTAGATAAAATATGGGTAAAAGTTGACTAGCTTTCAATATAATACTTGCTTGCTGCAATAAA